GGGTCGGAGGGACCTGGGCCGGGGTGCCCCGGGGCGCAGTGGCCAGCACGAGCCCCCTCCCTGCTGGACTGCTGGGGACAGAGGAAATGGGGCGGGGTGGGGGCACCCGAGGAGGCCCTGCTCTGGGGTGGGAGGCAGGGGGCGGGACAGGTCCCCATGGCTTTCTGCTGGGACTTGGAGAATTCCCCACCACCACCACCTTCCGAGCTCGCCAAGAGGTTGGTTCTTGCCTCCAGTTTGAAGGCCAAGGCCCAGAGGGCTTCTAACAACTTCAGGGCTTCGGAGACATGTTTGGTAAGTTAGCAAAGATTCTTCCAACGTGGCCTGTCGTTGACAGCTCTTCACTTTTTCCCTGAACGCTTTGGAGATGGCACAGTCGGTCGCCAGCCCTCACTCTAGACAATCTCTGAGAGGGAGGGCCTCAAGTGCCACCCTACTTCTGTAGAAAGGCCCTGTGCTTAGCGACCTCCGTGTTCTTAAGCCCTCACAAAAGCTCTGTAGGTGGAAATTATTTTACCCATTTAAGAGGAAGGAAACTGAGGCCGAGTATCTATCCCAACTGATTGGCTCAGGGTCACACCCAGCCAAGACTGGAACCTCCGTCTGCTTCCTCCATCAGCTTAATCACTTTAGAATGGGAAGGAAATGAAAAACCCAGGGAAGTTAGACAACTTGACCCCTCTCAGGCTAGTTGGGGCTGGGACAGGAATAGAACCCCACTCTACTCCCAAGCCTTTCCCCTGTCCCTGTTGTGCCTGGCATTGTATCTAGCAACGTGTGGAAAGCCTGCTACTTCTGCTTATAATCTCTCTCTCTCTCTCTCTCTGTATGTGTGTGTGTGTGTGTATATATATATATATATATAGAGAGAGAGAGAGAGAGAGAGTGAGCCTGGTTCAAATGTCACCTCTTTCATGATACTTTGTAACACCAGACCCTCCTGGAACTTGGCAAATAATTGCAACAACAGCATTATGGATGTTGTTGAATATAGCACATCTTCACTGAGGGTTTTCTGTGTACCAGATGAATATCTGCAAACTACCAGCTTCTCCCATCCTGGAGGACGGGAGCAACCATTGTCTTTATTTCTCCCTGTAACTCACCTTATAAGATACTTTTTAAAAAATCTCGAATGAATGAATGAACATATGTGCCTGGCCTCAAGGAACCTACATAACACTTGGAGAAATGCACACAGATGTGTTAAGGGCTAGCTTATGCATTAAAAAATATCAACGGGAAGAGAACTTGGAAAGCAAACCATGGGGCATTACCCAGGGAAGACTTCCTGAAGGAGAAGGTCCTTGAGCAATGCCTGGAAGAATGGATTGGCACAGGAGGAAAACCACAAGTGTGTTGAGCCCAAGACCTGTCTGAAATGGAGGGTGTGTGCTGAATATGGGGAAGAGAGAGATGAGCTGGGTGGGGTGGGTCCAGATTACACAGGGCTGCAGAAACCAACCAGGCAGGCAGCCGAATCGCTATTAGTGTGGGTGGCCAGAGTACATTGGAGCAGGATCTGGACTAGAAATAGAATCACTTGCCCCAGACAGAAAGGACAGTCCCCACTTTGGCTAAACACTAAGTTATAGTAAGAGCCTGCTGGGTCAAAAGACACAGGTCGCTGTTCTGCAGGCCTGGAAAACAGCAGAAGAGAGCAGAAGACCGACTCATTTGAGGTGCTCAGAACCTTGTTTTAAAAATGCCAAGCCAATTTCAGATTGTATTTAAATCCTAGTGCACAAAAAGAGATCAACCTCCTCCTAACAGTCCTCCGTGGTGGGGGCAGAGGCAGCAATACCTTGCAAAATGGCTTGCTCTGCCCAGCTCAGCTCTGACCCAGGAGGGCCCCTGCTTTTCTAACTTTAGCTCCACCACCAAACTAATTGTGTGCACCTGAGCAGTGTACCTCCTTTCTGGGCACTGTAAAGTGCATCTCTAAAGACCTTTCTTACTGTTATATTAATTAATTGCTTGGGGAAAAAAATACTATAGTCATCTGACTATTCCCAGAAATAACTCATTAGGAGCCAGTCTGTGGTATATTAAAATGTGACACTCTGAGTCCAGCAGGTGGCATGGTGTGGTGGTTAAGGGGCTGGATTCCCATATGTCCGACCAGGGTTTGAGTCCCAGACCCGGCAGCTTGAAAATCACACCAGGCACATGTGCATGCATGTTCAAAATCCTGAGAGGAGAATGGAGGAGAAGCAGGGATTGCAGTGTGGCCATCCCCGATGGGGAATGATTTCTCTCTCTCTCTCTCTCTCTCTCTCTCCAGCAAGCACATGCACCCTATGGCAAAAGAAAATAAAAATTTTAAAAATTTTAAAAAATTAAAAATAGAAAAACCAAATGACACTTTGCAAGGCCAGACCACATGGAAAGGTTCCCAGTTCAAGTCTGGAGACCTCCCTCAGTACCCTGGGCATGTGCTCACCAGTGATCCAGAGCTGGCTGAAGGCTGGGGTGGATGGGGGTGTATCACAGCCTTGCGATTCTGTTGGAGTGCTGTGAGGTTGCTGTCTCACTTTCTCTCTCTGTCTCTCTTACTCATGGAAGAAATAAATAAATTTTAATCTTTTAAAACAGAAAGACTTCCATGATATTAAAAAAAAAAAAAAAAGACTTTCATGATATTTAAATTGTTTAAAGTTGATTCAGACCACAAACCGGGTATGAGAATGGAAGGTTTCTTAAGTCTTTGCCCTGGGAGAATAGAGGGTGGGGGGAGGGGACTATGAGTATTTTCCATGTTCTTCTCCCACCCTTTCCTCTGGGAGGTAGTGAGTATAATCATTAAGACACAGCTCTGCAGCAGATGGGCTTGGGTTCAAATTCAGCTCCATGACAGACTGCAGAGAGAGAGCTCTCTAAGCCACAGTGTCTTCCTCTATAACAGCAATGCCCCAAACTTTTTGCCACCAGGGACCCGTTTCATGGAAGACAATTTTTCCATGGGTCAGGGTGAGGGGATGGTTTCAGGGTGATTCAAGCACATTACGTTGAGTGTGCGCTTTATTTTATTATTATTGCAAGGACCAGTTCCAGTGTATGGCCCCGAAGTTGGGGACCCCCGATCTATAAGATGGAAGTAAGAACTACCTCTTTGGGGTGCTGTGGAAGAGACTCGATGTGACAGTGGGTGCAGAGCCAGGCTCAGGGCTCAGAGGCTGGCTTAAATCCTTTGCAGAGTCACTGAAGGAGGGCAGAACTGACAGAGCTTCTGTGTCCGGATTTCAACGATTTCTTTCACGATTCTTTCTCGGAGCTCCCCGCACCATATGTGGCTTACAAACCACAGGCTACGATGTGTTTAACTTTAAAAAGCAAGCAATGTGTTCCTCTGAAGTGTGGCTCCACCGTGGTGCTTTATCACACCCAGAGGAGGTGTGGGTGGGCAGTCCTGGGAGCCCGTCTTCTAGGGACCAACATCTTGGAGATTTCCGTGCTCTTACCTCGTTTTCTGAGTCAGCATAGCATGCACTGGGAGGAGTTTCCCTTCCCCTTTCCTCCTGGTTGTGACTGCTCTACTCCTTTTCATCCTCTTCCTCCCTCAGGTCTGTTGGGTGGTCAGAAAAGCCGATGGAGAAGAGGAGGAGCCAGAGTTGTTCCTTCTGTCTTGTCTTGTCTTGTGTCGTCTTGTGTTGTCTTGTCTTGTCTTGTCTTTTCTTTTCTTTTCTTTTCTTTTCTTTTCTTTTCTTTTCTTTTCTTTCTTTTTTAATTTGCCGAAGAGCTAGGGCACAAGCACTCGCCAGAGAGAGAAGGAGAGTAAGAAATCACCCCCTCTCCAAGGGGGAATAGCCACACTGCAGTCCCTTCTCCATTCTCTCGGGATTTCGTACCTGCACGCATGTGTGCTCAGGGTGTCTTTCCAGGACGCAACCACGCAGTTGGCCATGTCTGATCCAGCCACAGGAACCTCCATGCCACCTGCTGGCCCTTCTTTTATCTTCTTGTGCAAAGACACTTCTGAAACCCTTGGGACTGCATGGCCCTGGGTTAGGAGCTCAAGCAATCAAAGCCTGCAGCCCTCTTGGTTCTCCACATTTTGGTTACAGTACCTAAATAGGGAGCCCCCATTGATGTCAATTACCCCTTCTCTTCTGTTCCAGGTTGACAAAGCCCCCAAGGGCTACAGCATGAGCTTGAGTGCCCTGTAAACTGAGTGTGTGTCAGAGAGTCTTTATAGATTGGCTTTGGAAAGCAAGGACCACCCCTCCCAGCCTCAAGGGTTCACACTCCCAGGAGCTCCCCAACTCTCAGGGCTGCAACTCCATGCCACAGGGATGGAGACAGGGATTCAAACCAGAAGATGTGAGTTCGGGTCAAAGCTGGGCCACCTCTGAACTGTAGAATGGGTATGTG